CCCCAAAACCCCAAAACCCCAAAACCCCAAAACCCCAAAACCCCAAAACCCCGGGACTCTAGAGGGAACTTGAACTATTTTTCGCAAAATTTGTTATTTTGGTGGGTTTTTGCGATCCTTTAAGTAGATTTAGGCCAAATGAGATGCTAGCTCAGAAGGAGTCATTATATGCCAGTTGTAGACATGGAGGGATTTGGGATTAGAGCTTTTTATAGCTGAAAGATCCTCTTTCGAGGAACTTTGAAAGAGAGCTCTAATTAACAAAGCCTCTCAATTCATTTTAAATGTAATAATTCCGATTTTTATTATATCTTTCATAATCTTTTGCTTAATGAATTCACTCTTTTTCAAATGTTGTCCTTTATCTATAAAAGTATTAATTCTGGTGAATATTTGAAGAAAAGAGGAAAGCTTACTGTCAGAAGGAATAGGTGGTATAATTGCTATCTTCTCAGTTACATTTCCATCAGAGTCTAGCTTGAAGACTACAACTTCGAAACAATTCAAGAAGTCGTCCATGAAATTTGTGTAGATTTCATAAGTAAATCCTTGCATTTTATGTGCTAAAAGTAATATATAATATCTTACAGTTTTGGTGTTCTGCAATAACAGCTTTTACTGTTTCTTGTAATTCAGACTCAGCATCAGCTCCTGATTGGGATGCAAGTTCGTGGTTCAGAATATACTCCTTATAGTGATCATCCAAGTTATTCAACTGGGAATAAAAAGAGGTATAATCAATTACATCTACATATTCCTCATGTGAGAGAGCCAGGTTCAGTATCTGCATGAGGAGTTTGAAGTGGAAAGCCTCCAAGCTATCCAACCTTATACCATTGACCATCTCCTTCATTACTTCTGTAGGGATTATCTCACTAGCCTTGTCAAGTACCAGTAAAGACCAGATTAGACGAATTCTGTCATGATCAGTATTGAAAATCTCTAGCAGCTGCTCAGTCTCCTTGACTTGCTCTAGAATAGGAAGGAACTTCTCTGCAATAGAGGCAACATGAGCTTCGGTTAAGTATGTCATAGTTTCGGAAAATTTTTCAGCTGGAATTTGGTACACCCCTGCTCTGATCTGGCCCAATACCATCTCGAATAGTTTATGGTCTCCTCGCATGTTGTACAGGCTTACGTATGTTTTTAATATACTGAGCAAGTCACTGATAGGAAGAGAGTTTTCCCTGACTGGTTGTCCCACAGAACTAAAGTAGTCACTCCAGAGTTCATCATTCACTGTATTTTCGTAAATATGCTGCACTTTAGGGAGAGTCTCAAAAAGCCTAATGAATTCTCGTGGTCTCAACTCCTTTCTTCTATCAATCAGCCTGGAGAATATCCGTTCATAGAAGTTATCAGAGCCAACACCTAGCTTTAGGAAGGATTCTAACACATTTAGCATGTCATGGTTGGTGAAGTCCTGAAGCTTTGTCATTGCCACCTTTTCGAACCTGTCATATAGCTGTTCTTTGGTACAGTTCAGGCCGAGCTCATCCATAAACTCTAGGTCAGGGAAAGCTTGGTGGATTCCGTTAACCACGTATTTTAGACCTCGTGACTTCAAACTCACTGAACGCTTGTAAATACTGTTGAATAGTGCCTTGGTCAGCATTTTTGAATAATTATTGTCAGCCTTAATCCCATTGTATAACTTATGATCTCTAGTCACACTCCAGAAGAGAAACTCAAGTTGTCTGATACTCAGCTCATCTATGTTGAGAGTAAGAGCTGTGCACAGATCCTCATTCAGTTTCGAATGCTTGACAATATATTTAGGATCATAAAGTGCTCTTGAGATGTTGAGCAGTTCTGGAATCTTCTCGTGTTCTATTTTCTCAGACAAATGCTCTTCCAATTGTGTTTGAAACTCAGTGCTGCCAATATTATGCTTGAAGAGGTTCTCACAGATCTTAGCTCCTTCAGAGAACTGTAGTCTATTGTGGTAGATACTCTGCTTGACTTCATTTTCGACAAATTCGTAAAACCCAAATCCTCCTTCTTCAGAGTTAGTGGCCTTTGAAAATTCAGCACAGATTTCAGCCATCCTGGTGATGGTCAAGTAGTGCTTGAACTCTATCAGTTTCTTTGATAGATACTTGTACACCCTAGGTGATCCATAATTAACCTGTGAAAAGGATTTAAGGAACTTATAAAGATGGTTTTCCTCGAATTCTATGGGTGAAGTGACTACCACCACTCCCATTTCGTTGAAGAACTTCTTAGATCCCTTCCCTGCACATGCAAAGGCAAACAGGACGTCTACCAGCTGCTGGTTGTTGAGCTTGCTAGATCTCTTAAGAAATTCTAGCTCTAGGTGGTCCCAGATCTGACTCTTTTTCATGATTTCATGATTTTTACCACATACCTTAACAATCTGGACTAGACTGTCTGTCAAATAATGAGGAATTCTTTCAATAAGATTATTAGTAAGGACTGGATCTTCCTTGTTCTGACTCTTGAGCACTTGCTTGAGCTTCTTCTCTGGAAGTATCACTACCTTCCTGAGCAGCTTCATCATTTCAACCTCTGTCAATTTATGAACATTATTGACAGCAAGCTCTGGATGTTCAGCCCAGCCTCTATCATAAACTCTATTGACCTCCTTCTTGCCAGCGACTTCACCCAGTTGGCTCTGTTCTTTTCTGGACATGGTAATTGTTCACATCCTTACTTTCCCAAAAGAGTGAACTAAATTCATCCTAAAAGTACTTAAACCAACTCTTCCACATCTACCCAGGACTCTCATCAGGATTCCTAGCTTAATTGGGGACTTATAAGTGTAAAAATTGAGTCAGATGCTCAAACCATGATTTCCTTTCACTTACAAGCGTAGTTTTGGCCCAAACATTTTTATTAGGTTTAAATTATTAATAAGAATCGTTCATTTTTATTACTATAAATAGGGGTTTTGGGGTTTTGGGGTTTTGGGGG